CCATCTTTCAGATATATATAACCTTTGGCAGGGAGAGGAAGCTAAACCACATAAATGAATAACAACACAAAACAGTACATAAGCTTGTTCAAATGACAATAATGTCAGTTCTTAATAAGACCTCAATAACTATTAGATACACCATCAATTTAATCACATTTCTGGAAAAAGGAAACTACTCTATTAAGTGCACATATGAAGTCTAAGATACATCCCAGTTTCAAAAAGATTAAAATCATTACTTCAACAAATATTTATGAAATGTCTACTATGTGCCAGGAATACTGGGCACTGGAGCTACCCTTTAAAAAGGGAAAACCAACACTAAAGTGTCACGTATTCTCTGCCACCCAAATCCCTCCCCATGTCAGATTAGTAGGGATGGATAGGCAAATAGAGTGAAAAGTCTAATATATTACATAAATCAAATTTACTGTTACAAACATTCCTAAAGAAACTCCAAGCCCAGGTGGTTTCCTTGGAAAATTCTACCACACATGTAAGGAAAAAACATTTATTCGGACAGCATCACTCTGATGACACACCGGGCAGAGCATTGCAAGGAGACTAAAGGACAGCGTCCCTCATGAGCATAGACACAAAAATCCTTAACAAAATATTAACAAACCAAATTCAGCAGTATATAAATAGAATAACACATTATGGTCAAGTGGAGTTTATCCAGGAATGCAGGCTTGGTTCACATTAGAAAATCAATCAAAATAACTCATTATATCGACCAACTAAAAAAGTATACGACCATCCCAATAGACATAGAAAAAAAATTGACAAAAGCCAACATCCGTTTGTGCTAAAAAAAACTCTCAGGAATTTAGGAATAAAACGAAACTTCATCAACCTGAAAAAAGATTTCTACAAAACCTACCCAGACTGAAAGAAATATAACATCATACTTAATGTTAAGACACTGAATGCTTTTCCCCAATACTATGCACATGATAAGAATGCCTGCTTAACACCACTCTTACTCAGCACTGTATTGGAGGCCCTGGACAGTGTGTGAGGCTAGAAAAAGAAATGAAAGGTAGACAGATCTGAAAGAAAGAAATTAAGATCATCTCTATTCACAGACAATATTACAATAAAAAAAAAAGAGTCTACAAGAAACCTACAAGAATATAAAAGTCAGTTTGGGAAGGTATCAATTACATGTTTCTATACTAGCAATAAGCAGTTGGAAATTCAGACAAACCAAAAGCAGTCTAACTGCACTAGCATCAAAATACTTAGTGGTAGGCAGAACTTTTTAAATTTAATAAAATATGTACAAGATTTGGAGTAAGAAAACAATAAAACATTGACCTAAAATAGTGGAAACATGTACCTTATACATGGGTTGAAAGACTCATTATTATTAAGATGTAAATCTCTCCCAAATTGATCTACACTTTCAATATATTTCTAACCAAAATTAAAGCAGGCCCTTTTTGTGGTTTCTCAAAGCTGATTTAAAAGTTATATGGAAAAGCAGAGGGCCTACAACAGGCAAATTTAAAAACAAAACACAACAAAACAAAACTGGCGGACTCATCTTATGTGATTTCGACTTATAAAGCAACAGTAATTAAGTTGTATAGTTTTGATGAAAATATATACACACAGGTCATATAGTTTTGATGAAAATATACACACACAGGTCAATGGGACAAAAGTGAGTACAGAAATACACCCACACATATACAGACAAATGATTTTCTACAAAGGTGCCAATATGAAGAAAGGATAGTATATGCAACAAGCATAACTCACACTTATAAAAAATTAAATCAAACAGATCATATGCTAAAATATAAATAAACCATAAACTTCTTCAGGAAAACTGAGATCTGCCAAGTGATTACTGGATAAACTATATATGGTACATTCATGTAACAGAATGTTATTCAGCCATAAAAAGGAATCATGTACTAACACATGCTACAGTATGTATAAACCTTGAAAACATTACACTAAGTGAAAAAAGACCACACAGTGTATGGTTCCCTTTATATGAAATGCACAAAATGGACAGATGTATAGAGACAAAAAGTGAATTAGCAGTTGTTGGAGGCTGAGGAGTGAGGAAAATGACCAGTGATGCTAACAATGGGTATGGAGTTTCTTTTCAGTGTGATGCAAATATTCTGAAATTAATTGTGGTGATGGTGACACAACTCTACAAATATACTAAGACCACCGAATTGTCCACTTTAAATGGATGACTTTTATGGCATATAAATTATACTTCAATTATTTTAAAAAATTAAGAAAAAAGAAAATACAAGAGGGAAACAAAAGGAAACATAAAATCTTTGAGACTCTGATCTCAAGCAAGAACCATAAAAAGAAAAACTTGATAAACTGGAATTCTTCAAAACTAAAAATCTGCTCTTCAAATGACACTCTCAAGGAAATGAAATGACAAGTTACAGATTAGGTAAAGCATTTGGAAAACACATTTTTAAAGAATTTGTATCCAGAATATATAAATAACTTATTTGAAAACAAAAATCTTGCTTAAAAAAATGGGAAGAACAGGACACTTTATGGAAAAAAGATATAAATGGTAAAAAAAAAAAAAGGGCATGAAAAATGCTCAACAACAACAGCCATGAAGGAAACACAAATTAAAACCACAGAAAGGAAACCGTAACCCAGGTATTGAGAATGGCCAAGTGTTTAAAAACTGACTACATCAAGGAGGCAGAGCAACTGGAACTCCTCACACTGCAGGTGGTCATCCAAAATGGGAGAGTCACAAAGATAACAGTTTGGTTGTTTCTTATATTCACTTACCATACAATCTAGGAATCCCTCTCCTAGGTTTACATTTACTCGAAAGAACTGAAAACAGATGTCCATACATACACCTGTATGACAATGTTTATAGCAGGTTTAGTCATATCATCAAAAACTGGGAACAACCCAAAGGACCATCAATGGGTGAATTAATCTCATTGAAACTCTCAGGATAGTCTTGCTTTTTTTTAAATAAAAAGAATCAGTCAAGTAGTGAGGGGCACCAAAGCATAGTCTGAAAAACTTCAGCTGGAAAAATACCAAATGGAAGAAAAAAAATACCAAGTGCATTTCAATAAGAGAAAGACAAGGAGGAAGAAATTCAAATTATGCAATACGAGTCATCTTGATTGAAAGACCCAAGCATTTTTTAATAATGTTCTCTGCTTAAGCTGGGATGGTGTAAGGCAGTACAAAGACTGTGGAGTCATATACTGCCTGGGTTCCATTTCTATGTTCCTTTATTTACTAGCTCTGTGATCTTCAGCATGTTAACAGTACCAACCTCATAGTGTTAATGTGAAGATTACATGAAGTAACGTATGTATAGCAATTTTTAAAGTGCCTGAGCTTGTTACTAGCTATTATTATTGCAGTTGTTATTCTTACTAACTAACTCTGAAGTCTTACTATTCATTGTCTCACATAGCTTGAGAAACTGTATGGCTTATTCTCTATCTTAGCCTTTTTTTTTTTAATGAATTATCGTAAGCAGAAGGTGAATACAAACTAAAATCCTACCACAGATTTGGTAGAATTCTGTCCAATATATGTCTTCCAATTGACTCCTAAAATAATTATCTCATTTTCTCATCTCTTTGGACTTTTCTAGGTATTCTACAATACAAGCAACAGGTATCTTAACCCAGTTATTTTCTCTGTTCAGATTTAAGGCATGCCTCACAAGCTCTGATACCACTTGTTGAATTTTTTAGATGTCTTCTGCTATCCCTTGCATTAAAACCTTTTCTTGTTTCTATTTTGATGGGAACTTTTGAAATCAGCTTTCCATTAATACTTAACACTTTGGTCATCCTCCAAATACCTAGGTGCACAACTTAAAAACACAAACAGGTACCAAATCTCTCCCTTCTCCATACCAATGAATAATATGTTAGGAAAAACAAATCTAGAAACTATCTGTGTTTTTCCCTCTTTGTGAAATTAAACCTCTCTTCTTCCAAGATCTTTCTTACCTCCTTAGTTAAATGAAGACATTATATTAGACAAAAAAGGTCCTGAATTAAATATTACATAATTTCAACTCTAAAATATATGAAAGGAACATGGGTCGCATAGAATAAAGTTGAGTCTTTAAAAACTGGCAATGCTAACTGGTGGCAATTGGTTGATAGAGACTATAACCAAATTAGCGATACCAAGACTTATAAATTATGCATCAAAATAAGATTTAATACATATTGTAGAGGTGCTAATTATTTTTACATCAAATCCATTAATTCTTTCAAAATTTATATCTTCATTTATAACTAGTATATAACTTATTACATATAAACTATATAAAATAAGCCTCTTTGCTGTGATAATTTTGTTATTCGTTCACACATTTTAATTTACATACACAAACTCTCATAAAATGTAAGAACAACAACAGCAGAAACACACATTTTCCAAATATATCTCCAACTTCCCTCTTCCTTCTGGTATTGACATAATCTGCAATGATCAGATTTCATGCATATCATCTAACAACATGACAAACTTTAAGAGTAGCCTAAGAAAAACTAAAACACTAACACCAAAGGTTTTTTTCCCTAAACACTTTTATTTACTGTTAATTATCAACATTCACAAAATATATAAATACTGGTGGCCTACATACTTGCAACAGATTAGAGTTGAGACATAGGCATGATTATTTCTTCAAGTAAGTTGGTATTTATTCTGAACAATGGAAGTTAAACACTGATGAAATACACCAAATTCCCAGATACTCTTCTGTAAAAATTAAGTTAGAGAGTAGGGGAAACATGCCAGTTTCTTTCAAAAATACCTCAAAATACTTTAGTATTCAATTGGGTCAACTATTTTGGGTGCTTTCAAAAACAACTTACATTACGATAAAGAGAGAGATTACTTCCAAACATACACTGAATTTCATGAGCATAAAATGAAGGCGGGAAACCCCAAAACATATACAAGCAAGCAGAGCCTATTACAGAGTATTGGAAGGCACCTACCTCATGCACTAAGGCAAGAGAGATCTGCTTGAAACTTCGCCCTCTACTGGCCATCAGTCGATTCAGTGGTTTGCCGTCTTTACTCTGGTACATCGAAACATCGTAACAAAATAACATACCACCTTTTAAAAAAGGAAAAACTTGTAAAAAAAAATTTCCTATGGAAAAATGTCATTGATTGGATTCTCGGTAGTCCATATTTAATCAATCTGGGTAGACAGATTTCAAAATTAAAAGAGTTTTCTAAGCAAATTATGATTTTTGACTACTGGTATCAAAGGAAAGAAAAAATAAGAGGCTAAGTTACTACCTTTAAACTATCACTGATTTACAAGACTTACTCATTTGTAAATAAATGAATAATAGACAATTCATGACTTGTTAAGTTTTGTGAACGGTTACTTCTAGAGATTCTATTAAGCTTTTTTAAAAAAATAAATTTCAGTTAAAGAGAAATGCTTGCACATATCACTCCTCATGAGCTCCTGATAACATGGGTTGGTTCCTCTAGTTTATACCCACCAGCAGATAATACTGCAAATAGGTATTTCTTCCTTTTTCCTTCCTCCTCCTACTCTGACACTTCTCCTCCTGATCTTTCCCACTCTGATCATCCAGATTCTCAAACTGAACTTCCAGCTCCAGCTGGCCCCCAGGGCCAAAAAGCAAAGGCAGGCAGCAGAGTGCTAGAGTATGAGTTAGGGAATTCTTGGGAAATATCTGGGTAATTTCGAGCCAATGAGAAGGCACATTCAAAGACTAGTAACAATTTAGAACACAGAGGTCATTACATTTATAAGCATCTCTTACTGAAGTATGATATAGAGAGAAAAGTACACACATCATATGCATATAGCTAAATGAATCTGAACAAACGTGTAATCAAACCCCAGATGCAGAAACAAAACATTATCAACATCCAAAAAGCTTTCTCATGTCTCCTTCCAGTTACATCCTCCCCCACCCCAAAGGCAGCAATCTCTAGCAACCATTCTGCTTACTTTGGTACTTTATTATAAATGGAATTAAACTGCATACGCTTTTCTATATGGCTTCTTTCACTCAACATAACCATTGCCAGAATCATTCACATTGTTATTGGCAGTTGTAGTGTATTCAATCTTATTACTGAATAATATCCTATCATGTGCATATACCACAATTTATTTATGAACTTTAATGTCAACAGGCATTTAGATAGATTCCAAGTCTAGGGCCACTCAAATTATGCTGCTATGAACGTTATGCTGTATGCCCTTTCTGGGCAATGTTATGAATTTGTTCACAACCAGTTTCAAAAAGTGGTTGTACCAACTTCCCAGCAGGAGTTCTGGTTGCTCCATATATTTACAATACTTTGTATTTTTCACCTTTTTTCATTTTAGCCCTTCTGTTAAGTATGTAATGGTACCTTATTGCAGTTTTAAATTGCATTTCTCTGATGACTAATGAAGTTGATCATCTACTCATATGTTCACTGGGCATTTGAACAACCTCTTTTTGAAGAGGGTGTTCAGTTCTTTTTCCTGGTTTTTATCTTATCAATTTGAAAAAATATGCTGTATATTCTAGATATGAGCCTCTTATCAGATATACATATTATAAATACATTCTTGCATTCTGTGGCTTGCCTTTTTACTCTCTTAATGGTATACTTTGATTAACACACGTTCTTGATTTTACTATAATTTGTCATTATTTTTATGACTAGAGCTTTTACAGATGTGTTGAAAAGATAATCCCTTTCCTCCACAGCATTGTAGTGTCAGCTTTGGAATAAACCTGGTGACCCTGTACATGTGGATCTGAACATTCTATATTCTTCTGTTGGTCAATTTGCCTGTCCTCCAATACCACACTATCAATTATTATGGCTTTACAGTAAGTCTTGATATCTGGCAATGTGTATTCTTCTACTTTGTTGTTATTCTTCAAGATAACCTTGGTTATTCTTGGTATTTTGTATTTCCACACAAATTTTAGAATCAGCTTGTCAGTTTCCAAAACCTACAGAGATACTGATTGGGATTGGACGGAATTTATATATTAATTTCAAAAGAACTGACATTTTTATAGCATGAAGTCTTCTAGTCCATAAACATGTATATCACCCATTTTATTAGGATTTCTTTGGGTTTTTTTTCCCATAATATTTTGTAGCTTCTAGTATGATTTTGGTAAATTTATTATGAGTACTTGATATTTTTTGATGCTATTATAAATGGTACAGTTTTTAAATTTATTTTTGTTTTAGTATATAAAAATACATAATTGATTTTTATATGTTGACCTGTATATGCATGCAGCAACCTTGCTAATAAATTCATTTATTAATCCTAGTCTGTGGATTATTTTGGATTTTCTACGTACACAATCAAGTCATCTACAAATAATGATTGTATTTCTTCCCTTATAATCTTGATAATTTATCTTTCTTTTTTGTGGCTTATTATTCTAGCTATGGCCACCACAACAATACTGAATAATAGTGGTGATAACTGGCATCCATATCTTTCTCCCAATCTCAAGGGGTAAAAGTTTCAATGCTCAGTATTATATACAAAGATGGCATTACAGATGTTTTTTATCAGAATAAAACAAGTTCCCTTATAGTCATAGTTTAATGAAAGTCTTTGTATCACAAATAGCAGCTAAATTTTTCACAGGTTTTTTTTTCATCTACTGAGATAATCTAAAGATTGTTCTTTTCTGACTAATATAATGAATTATTGATTTTCAAACATCAGTTAAACTCACTTGTTATGTATTATACTCTGTATGTATTGCTGAATTCAATTTTTAAACATCTTTTGCAACTGTATTTCCAATGTTCATGGAAGAGACTAGTTTGTAATACTCCCTTCTTATACTTTGTATCAAGATTATGCTGATCTTATCAAGACTATTCCCCTAGCCACACTATTTTTTTTTTTTACTCTGTTCTCTATTAGAGTTTTTGAAAAACCATTGTTATTTCTCCCTTAGTTTTTTTGGAAGAATTCACCAAGGAAGCCCATTTGTATGTAGGGTTTTCCTTGTAGGAAAGTTGTTACGGATTCAATTCCTTTAACACATATCAAACTATTCATACAATCTTATTTCTCCTTCTGTCAGTTTTGCAAAGTTTTCTATTTTAATGAATTTCTATATCTTACCCAAAATGAAAAGTATTGGCTAAAAATTCTTCATAACAATCTTTTATTATCTTTCTGAATGCTATAGTTTGAAGTGGTGTCTCCTTTGTTGTTCCTGATATAGAGAATCTATATTTCTCCATTTCATTGTCCAAACTTATAATGGCTTTATCAATTTTGTTAAACTTTTCAAAGAATCAACTTTTGGCTTTGCTGATTTCATGTTTTCTATTGTATTGATTCTTATTATCTTTATTATTCTTTCCTTTACCCTTTAAGTTTTATTTGCTATTCTTTTCCAAGCTACCTGAGATGGAAGCTTAAATCATGACTGCTTTTCTTTCTTCTTTTTTAGTAAATGCATGGAAGGTATAAATCTCTCTCTAATATTGTTTCAGCTACATCCCACAAGTGTGATATGGTTATTTTCATTATTATTCAGTTCAAAATATTTTCTGATTTTCATTTTGATTCTTTCTTTGGTCCATGGATTATTTATAAGTGTACTGTTCAAATTCCAGGCTACTGGAGACATTCTAGTTATCTTTTTGCTATTTATGTTTAGTTTAACCCCAGTGTCATCAGAAGACTCTAAATGACTTCAATATTTTGAAATTCGTTGAAGTTTATCTCCATCAAATGGTCATTTTGGTAAGTTTCCCAAGAACAGTTAAAACCTTAAGAATTCTATCACTGTAAGATTCAATGTTCCATATATTAATTAAGTTTATTCATAGTAGTATTTATTTTATAAACCTACTGATATTTTTGTCTGCTTACTCATCAAACTATTGAAAAAGATGTTTTGAAGTTACCCATTAATACTGTGTCTATTTCATCTTTTAGTTCTACTAATTTTTGTCATATATTTTCTTAATAGAGTCACTTCTTTACCTCCATGAAATGTTCCCTTCATTTCTTACATCTAGTACTTTTACATAGCATAGTAGAAAGCATATGAAAAATAACAGAAATTCTAAATGATGTTATTTTTTTTTTTATCAGAGAGGAGTTTCTGTACTAGACTTGATTACAGCTTTGGTAAATCTCAGTCTACCTCTAGTTCAACCCTATTCCTAGGGCAGGCAGCCCCCAAGATTTTCACTGACAGTCTAATCAGTCATTGACTCCTCAATACAGAAAGATTATGGGAGATTCAGATCCATCCTCAGAGGTTTTCAGCTTAGCTCTTCAACTTCCTATTCCATAAAGCTTCAGAATTTGACAAATATCTTGAGGGAGAAACAGACTGTGTTTGAAGTCCCTCAAGTCCCCAGTTTTGTCACTCAGGCATCGCATTAATGTCAAGATCACTGCTGGTTTCTCTGCCTCCTGCACCAGCCTCTTGTCAAGGTCAAGCCAGAATTTCAGCTTCCAGATGCGGCCAGAATTCGCAAGTACACACAGGCAAAAAGAGTTGGAGATCTTCAGTATCAATGTGCACTGTTTATTATGAGGCTCATTCTCCTAGCTAGTCTTTGTTTCCTAAGCATCACAAGATTGGAGATTTCACTTTGCTTTTCAGAAGCTCCAGTCTAGTTCTTTAACATCCAGGGAAAACTCAGAATTCGGCAAAAAAAGTCAGAGTCTTCAGAGAAACAGAACCAATAGGATATATACATACATACATACAGAAAAGTAGGTATGAGGAGATTTATTATACTAACTATAGAGGCTGAGAAGTCTGCAAGCTAGGAGAACCAGGAAAGCTGGTAGCAGAAGTCAGTCTGAGTCTAAAAGCCCAAGAACCAGGAGCACCATTTCTGAGAGCAGGAGAAGATGGAATTCCCCCTTCCTCTACCTTATTGTTCTTTTCAGGCTTTCAGTGGATTAGATGTGGCCTACCCACACTGGTGAGGGTGATCTTCTTTACTCAGTCTACTGATTCAAATGCTAACCTCTTCTGGAAACACACTCACACACACACACAGAAAAAATGTTTACCAGCTATCTGAGCATTGTTTAGCCCGATCAAGCTGACACATAAAATTAACTATCACTTCATCCATCACTAAAAGCTCTCCTGGTTTCTCTGACCTACAAGAGACCTCTTCCTGAGCCAGGTCCCAATCCTATCCTAAGTCCACAACCAGAATCAGTGGATATCGAATATCCTCCTTTGAGAGCAGGGAACAGTCCTAAAATGTTTTTCCCATTCTGTAATTTTAGCCTATTTATTCATCTTTGCTTCTACAATTCTCTGATGACTTTAAAATATGATTTGTTTTTGTGATTTATCCTGCACTGCCCAGATGTCAGCAGCTGCGGTGATGCTCTGCTGTGACCTATTACATGCTGCTTGGAAGCAGAAGTCAAACCATTAAAAACCTGTAGCTCTATACTATGGACTGTGCTTACCTGCAAGGCCAGGTTTCAAACCTGGTTGCTTGTTTGTTTCATACATTTTCAATATAAAATTGGGGATTCCTGCTACAGTCTTCCCTTGGTCTGAGCGGGTACCTCCTTTTAATGCAGAGTGATACACCCCACGAGGCATATTCACCATTTCTTGCTTCACAAGTGATGTAAAAAATTCCCCTAAAGCTGAAAGAAATAAAAGGAGATCAAAAGTAGTGTAAATACAGTATACTAGAAGAGAAAGTTCCATTCTTAACTTGTGTCTGTGTGTGTATAACAACTTAGCTATGTTCTAGAACAAAACTTCATAAAGTAAAATGAGAATTCTTGGTTCCTATACCTTTCTTAGTTTTCCCCAAATTAGAACATGGCACCCAGTTGCTCAAGCTTTAAAATTTAGTCATTCTTAGTTCTTTTCTTTCTCACACTTCTTAAATGTAGCCCATCATCAAGCCCTTTGAGCTCTACCTTCAAAAGTATACCCCAAATCCATCAATTTCTCTCCATTTTCACTGCTACTTGTCCAGTCCTTATCTTCTCTCTTCCTTATCAGGACAAACTTAAAACTAGTTTCTTGGTTTCTTCTCCCCATGACCATCCCTCCAACAATCCTCTACCCATAAGGCAGAATTTTATGTCCTTCTCTCTAACATCTTCCAGGGGTTTTTCACTGTATACACAGTAACAACAAAACTTCCCCAAACTATCAAGACTGTCTATGATGTAGCCCTTCACTCTCTCTCTGACTTCTCTACCACCTACCCTCCTTTCTAGCTGTGTGAAAGGCATACTTCCATAGAGCCTTTTTCCTATTCTGCAATAACACACAATCCATATCTAAGTCAGGGCCACCACACTTGTTATTCCTTCCACCTGGAACACATCGTCCCAGATTTCAATGTGACTGGCTTGCCACCTTCCTGTCATTTAGGTATTTTCAGAGACACCTTTTATGGCTATTCATCATTCTGTAGAAATATCAGTACGATTATTAAGAAATGTTAATTATTTTTGCTTGTGTTCCTTCTAATTAATTCCAACATCTTTATTGCTTAACATTTTTACTTATTATAAAGCAACGCAGAAGTGTGGCATCAGAAAGCAATAGGATACCTAAACAAAATACTTGATAAGGCTCTAGGTTTATATTCAAGTGCTATTTTCCTAAGGACCACTAGAGGTTGCCCAATGCAGAAACAAAAACAACAAAAACATTAAGGCTAAACAAATCGTATAGAAAACAAAAAAGGAAACCACGTGTGCCTCTTCTTAACAGAACAAAAACACAGGGTCCACCTAACTAAACTGGAATTTTATTATGAATAGATCTAAAAGTCTCCTTTAAATGACCATAATTAGATAAAAGACAGCAAGTGCTCACTGGAACATATTATGGGCCCAGTTCTGTTCTGACATTTCTATACAGAACCTTTCTAGATATTACGAATTTCTCCATTCAAAGGCCAGAAAACACCTGTGTGGAATTTGTTCCATTTACCCCTCCAGATCCATTCTCTACCTTCTCAACCCTTCTCTGAGCACTGGAAGAATAACCTTTAACAATTGCATCAACAGGCTCCTTTATCCTCTGGCTTCTACTTGGCTTCATCTAATGGATGCTACTGGCAGGATATCAGGAGGCAGAAACCAAGTGAGGTCAGGATATGTACTCCCCAGGAACCCTCCTGCAGGACTGCTACAGGTTGCTTGTACCCCTCTTCTGAAGGCCATGGCTCCCCAAAAGCAGCCCTATTTATGACACGGATGCTCCCTTAGTCCCCTAACTGCTACTTGCCTTTACCTCTTCGGGATGAGCGACATTAATCACTCTGGGATGAGTCACTGCTACTTGTGAATTTCCTTTAACTTTGACAACAGAACTGTAAATAGTCCCCTTATTAAATTCTCAATTACTCCATCTGAAAGTGCCTTTCCTGTCAAGATCCTGAACAGTACATCATCTAAATGAAAGGGATAAGCAATATCCAATTACAGGCCATATACTACAATCCCTGCACACACTTGTACATGTATGGCTACTTCAAACTGTGTAGGCACATAGACTTTCATAATGTAGCTAAGAATCACCTGGTTGTGAGCACAGAGGAGCTAATGCAAGAAAAAGTAATTTCATGCTTTCTAAGGGATCCTATTCTGGCAAAAGCTGAAATGTGTCAAGAGATAAGCATGCATTTGTACATAAATTATCCCAGGAATGGAAATTTGTCTACTTGTCCAACTCTTCAGAGAGCTAAGGGTCCTCACATAATTCCAGCCCTGAGAATAGTTTAAATGAGGGTAAGATGCCATAAGTGCAACTGATATATAGAGACCATCCTCCCCCAACCACAAAGCTAGCAACTAGAATTTTTTCCATTGCCTTTGAGGTTTGCCTTAGTCTCTTCCTTCCATATAACCAGGTGAGAATATGAAAAGAGCTGAAAATTCGTAGGATACAGAATTTTTTTTAAACAACCAGTTTTTAAAACAACCCAAATGTCCTTCAACAGGCAAGTGGATAAAGTGGCACATCCTACACTAGAATACTTACTACACAGCAGTAAAAAAATAAGCAATTGATGCAAGCAACTGTTTGGAGGCATCTCAAAGACATTATACTGAGTGAAAAAAAGCTAACCCCAGAAGTTTATATATTGGATTAAAAAAAGTGATGAAATCCAAATAGGTCTATAGTTAATAGTATTTAAATTCAGAAACTAAATTTTATATCCATAAAAATTAAAGGGAAAATTGGAACAGAACAAGGTAATAGATGCCTGCCCAGCATGTTGGTGCATACTGAATTAGAATAATCAGTTATAATTTGAGTAACTCATAAAATGTTAAGGTCCTGTAAGCTTTTTATCAAAACTGAATGACCATCCAATTGAATCCATTTTTAAAGGCTTTAATGTAGAGCCCTCCAATAATTGTATCATCTTTGGAGTAACCCTAAAGAAAGAACAAATTTATGATGAAGAAACTCTCAGGAAATCTCTGAAGATTCTAATGATTTTTTTCACTTACCTTATATAAGAACCATTATTTGAACCAGTGACTCAAAGTCCCACTGTAATTTTTTCTGGTGGAATAAATTTAGCTTTTGAACTGAATTCTAATTTTTCAGTGAAAATGCTTGTTTAAACTAGCCTTCCACTTCAGTTTAATTTGTGTCTAACAGTTTTCATTGTGTTCTTAACACCACACTACCTCAAGCAGTCGCTATACACCAGACGGGTGCATTTTGCATTTCAAATAGAAAATGAGAATTTAAGATTAACGTAAGCTATAATGGGTATACATCACAAAAGAACACAGGTAAAATCTCTGAAAAATGCCAGCTTCCCTGCCACCAAATAGAAATCACCTGGTAAAACCGAAGGAGCAGTGAGTGACAACAATCCGAGATAGCAGGAGCCAGGAATGGAAAGATCCACGTCCTTCTCGTCACCCTCATCATCTGCCTCTTCATCGAGTTCATCGGGAATCTGGATTTCTGGTCTTATCTGAAACGATAAAGAAGGTGATACTAAAACATTATATACAATCTTTTCTTTGTCCTTTTTATGTCCAGATTTAAAAACCGGGTTTTTAAATTTACATTCATTGCTCTGTGTTACAAGACCACTAAAAGTTAATTCTAAAACATTTATTCATTTTCATATTCACTAAATGGTAAACTCTAATCATCTTATTAGATACAACCCCAGATCCCTGTAAAGAAATAATAGTAATATAATAAGAAAACCACCATAATCCTGCATAAGCAATGATTATTATAGAAAACTAATAAAATTTTACACCATCCGACAATAAAATGCAGTGACACATTCAACATATTAAACTTCTATGGTTTATAACAAAGTAATTGCCTTGTCTGAATACTTTTTTTAAAGAAATTGTGATTCCAGCTATTTCTCTATAACAAAGCTTAAAATCTTCCAGTAGAATATATATATAGTAGAGCTCAGGACAGAACAGAATGCTTTTTGACTTTTTTTTAGGCTTGGCAGTTTGTCACTATAGGATATAGAAACATTAAAATCTATAATTGGTAGCTATACTTGTGTTTAATTTGCAATTTGAAGATTTTGTAGTTGTCCTGTGATGAGTTAGGTTTGTTTGAACCAAATTATTAAAAATGTGAAAAGATTACCACTATTGTAGTTTCCACAAGATATAACTGTCAAACAATTAATTAAATTTTTAATACTTTCACTGACATATCATCGTAATGCCCACATGGAGATAATTAAGCATTAGGGGAGAAAATCAAAATATATAAAAGTGGTTGCTATAACTATAAAGTGCCAGAACCCAGTCATTGCCATTAGCCTGTCTCCCAGAGTTATTTTTAGAAATAATTAACAATTCCTGCAGACTGCCTTCTTCATAGGTCCCCAAAGCACTGTTCCATTTAGGAACTGCACTGAGTCAGGATTCTTGCAAGGGAATAAAAGAAAACAGAGAGAAAATGCTTCTCTTAAGTATAATAACCTCAACTCCAATGAAGCCTTTCAACCATAACTAGTGTTCTCTTCAGTAGTGAAGGGGTGAAAGCAGACTGGGTACTTGAGCAGTTTCCAGGACAAGTTTTCATTCTGAATACCTAATTCTCAGAGGACTGAGCCAGCTATAATTACAGGGATAACAACAGTGTACGTACTGCATAGGGCATGACAGCATTTGTTGCTATCAATACCAGAGAAACCCTGGCACATATGCAAACCTTTGGGTCCCGACAACTGGGGTTTTCCAAGGGTCTCAGAGGGTCTGTGTACACACTTTGAATTTGCCAGGTTTAGTATCACCACGAGTTATTCTAGAGATTCTAACTAGTCCTAGCTCCCTAAAAAGTTCCAAAAAACAAGTTGGTTCTGAGTCTGCCTTGCTTCTGACTTTTTACACATCATAGTTACACACTGAAATATTTGAACAGCATATTGGGAAAAACAGACAACAATGTTTACAGCTGATAACACTAGTTACCACAACGGTGCACCAAAACACTGGGAAGCTTTGATATGCATTATATTCACATGTGATAGAGACCAGGGGAGGTGGAAGGCAGAGGTAAACCCTTAAAGCTAACATCAACATTCACAGGTGTGGTGAAGATGCAGAGAGAAATTAGAACCCTCCCACACTGCTGGTGGGCACAGAGTGGTGCAGCTCCTTTGGAAAACAGTTTGTCAGTTCCTCAAAAAGTTGAGCAGAGTTACCATATGCCCCAGCAGTTCCACTCCCAGGTATATAACCAAGAGAAATGAAAATATACAATCACACAAAAACTTGACGTGAATATTCATGAATGTGAATGCACTACCCATAATAGCAAAAAAAAAAAAAAAATTAATGGAAACAATTCAAACATCCATCAACTGATGAATAAACAAAATGTGGCATATCTATACAATGGAGTATTATTCAGTCATAAAAAGGAGTGAAAGACAGATAAATGCTACACATGAATAAATCTTGAAAACATTACACTAAGTCAAGGAAGCCAGTCACAAAACGCCACATGCTACATGATTTCATTATAGGAAAGGGTCAGGCCAGGCAAATCTAGAGAGACAGAAAGTAGATTAATGGTTGCTTAGGGAGGAGAAAGGAGTAATGGAGACTCACTGCTAATAAAATGCCCTAAAATGAGATTGTGGTTGCTCTGTGATTAGTTGCACAATTTTTTGAATATACTTTTGAATATACATGGTGAACTGTATGGATTACATCTCAGTATCAAATTATATCTCAATAAAGCTGTTTAAGAAGAAGGAAGGAAGGGAAGAAGGAAGGGAGGGTGGAACAGGGGAAGGCAGGCAGACTATAGGGAAGCGGGGTTGGAGAAGATGATGGCACAAGCAGAGTGTATGAGGCAGAAGTTGCCACCACCTCGGAGGCCTTAACTAGTGTATGAACCATGCTAAATGACCTAATGTTTCCAATTCCAGAATTACTTAGTATAAGGGGATACAATTGTTTTTGTACACATTTTAGCCTATCCAGTCTTTCTGCTCAGTCAAGCCAAATTACTTAAAAAGGAGCCACCGCACCCAGGCCATCAATATTGCTGAGCTCCACTAAAGACAGACCTCCTAGGCTGGGGATAAAAAAAGAAAAAAAAATAGCTGATCCACTCATCCATCTTAAGTTGTCTAATTTTACATTCACATAACTGGATGCCTCTATTAATTTATCTATGACATGGTAAAAAACATGTCTGTATCTTACATGTGTACACATTTTAACAAAGCAACTACAGATGCACTGTAATTTAAGTATAGATGATATAATCTGCCTACTTAATAATGGTATGATTACTCCTTCAATTTTGTTTCTTCAAAGGTGAGTGGGTTCTCCTGAACAAATTAGCACATATTGCTAGACCCTGGCTCCATTACATTTTCCTCCTCCTCTGCTCACCAATTAAAGAAATATTTGTTCTGGCTTTCCAGTATCACTCCTAATGTTTTCCCCTGGTTTGTGATCAACAGCTGAGTAAGATCAATATGAGGAAAAGATCAATACGTGCTCAACAACTGAATAAGATCAACAGCTAAGGAAAATCAAGAGAAGTCATACGAAAAATACCTGTTTAAATAATAAAATTCTGGCAATTGCATTAGATGAGCTAATAAAACATCCAGGAAAACTGTATATTAAAAACATGCACACCAACTACATCCTTCCAATTATGGCTCAGCATTGTTGAAGGAACTTAAATGGGGAGCCAAATATAAAATGGTAAATTACTTTTAAAATCTGCTTCAAATTGTATATTGGAAAGCTTCTCCTACAAAATGCCTCACACTTTGGGCTCTGAGCCAAATAACCTTTCAACCACGTTTCTGCGCGCGCACGCACGTGCGTGTGTGTGTGTGTGTGTGTGTGTGTGTGTGTGTAACCTATGAAAATCCAGGAGTCGGTGCATACACAGAGTATTTTATTTGGAACACATCAAGTATATGCATAAATTCATTAAAAAAGAAAAACAGCTTCTGATGAATGCAATGACATTCACTTAAATCAAAGCCCAACAGGTTACACCACATTAATACCAACCCTGGGTGCATAATGAGTTATTTTATATTATGCACTTCTAAAATTAACTCCAGAAATCAACAACACAATCTATATTAAGATCTCTATAATAAAAAGTTTAATTTTTAAACAACTAAATATTTTTTAACAAACCCAAGGCAGAGAAGAGAGTCAATCTTTCACTAAAATGTTCGTCCATTACTGATTGTTTACTAACTGTTTTACAATTCTGTATTTGTTTTTTGTTTTGTTTTGTTAGGGAGGCCTTTTGAGGGGGCACTAAAAAAAGGCAAAGGAAGAAGGATAAATAGCTAACAAAAACAAAGAAGTACAAACTAAAAGGGAAAAAATCATTCATGTGTATTTTTTAATGTTGGTATCAACAGGTCCTTAAAGAAGCCTCCCACCACTTGAAAAAATTTTGACCAACTTTGGATTTGCATGTTTCAAGTGATTAACAATGACATTTTACAAACCAACAAAAGACACAGATTCATTCAACATTCCCAGCTCAAAAGACAGCCTAGCACTTATGTCCCATAAACAATTATTAAACCAATGCAAGTGTCGTTCCTGACACCACTAATCCCACTGACCTTACTAACAAACCAATGACATAAAAGATGAATTAATAAATCTGATATGAAAATCCCTAATTCACATCCCTACTATGTGCTGACATTTTCCATCTGACCTTAGGGGTACTGCACCATTCAACCCTAAATCGTCCTCCTGATGGCTGCCACTTCTCTAATGCCTTTTGTTCTACCAGCCTTGTCTAGCTAAATCTCACAGTTTAAATGGATGCATCAATCAACAAGAAGTCTTTCTTTAATGAATTTAAATTCAGGTAGTATTTACAAAAGTAGCTGAATTATAATCCACAATAGTAGCTGTGTTGATAAGGATAAAGTATATTTTTAAAATATTTTTTTTACTTCTACTTGAAATTTGTAGTATGCTTTTTTAAAAGATTATTTCACCAAGTTTCCACAAATAGAATGTGGACATGCTTTCACTGGGAAGGTATACAGGTAACCTTGAGTTTTGTGAGTAACTCATTGCCACTGGTACAGAGTGAGTAATCTCTGATAACATGGAACAACCTTACATAAGTCCCTACATGGCAAAGACTTGAGAAACAGCTGAAAATATGCCTTTACAGTAAATGTGTCTCAGTTTCACATCACTTCCATCATCTACAAAATAGAGGGTAGGAGCCACTCAGTTGTATCCTTAGCCCTTGGGGACTTAAACACACTGACAATATGAACACACCAACCATTTTCTGTACTTTTAGTCCTTAGGTGATCCAACAGCCAAACTGAAAATCAGTAATCAATACAATAAAGAAGAATACATGGTTCAGTCTTAGAAACAATGATTCTATCCAAGGAGGCAGATCCTCTGTATCAGAAGCTGGAGGGCAGGGGCAGACTCCTTTAAACCACTTATGTCCCCTCATCTTAATCCCAGTTCCAAATACCCACTGCAGTGAACCATTGTTACTTCTAGGAATGAGTCATATCCCAGACAGGGGTTAGGGCAGTAAAAAGGTTGAAAAGCATGGCTAAAAAAGAATAAGACTTAGAAATTTCCTTTACACTGGAAAGCATAAAGAGCTACTTATAGCTATTCAGCGATCAGAGGATATAGAAGAGTTAGATTAAGAAAGTATTTAATATTTGAATGAGTATAAGACTTAACTGAGTATAAACTCTAACAATCAGAAGCTTAATATAACTCTAAAATAGGAAAAAAATAAGCATATCAATATTTAAAGGAGTAGAAATTAAACAGTCAAGAGTATGTGGGAGTTACATGATAAAAGCTATTACTCTGCAGGAGTATTTCAGAAATAATAGCTAAAAACGTAATTATTATGCTATGATCTAAATTAGCAATTGGTTATAAATAACAATAATTAAAGATATCTTTCCAGATACTGTAGCTAATTTATTGGTAGGAGTCTGCACAACACATTTGCATTAGCTTTTTTTTCATTCATTTTTCTTAAAAGCTATGGGTACTGTACCATAGTGCAGTCTGAAGTCCCACCTCTTTTAATTTTGTGAGTCATAGAGCACCTTATAAGGCTTCCCATTTGTGATAACTGCATGATAAGCTGGCTGATCTGTCTTTGAGTCCTCAGTAACATGGAAATCCTGTCTTGCTTAGGATTTGGTATAAGAACCTATCTCCAATCCCTCCAACTCAATTCAATACACAGAAATTTGTCTGGTTCCTATTGGCATCTAATTTCTCTATAAATTCAATCCAGAAGACAAAGTCAACTCATTTTAATGCCTAAAGATCCCCAAAAGAAGACCTAAACTTCTTGCACATAGCGAATCTGTGGCATCTTGCTGCAATGATGGACAGTGACTGCATTGGGGTATGGGTGGGGACTTGATAATATCAGTAAATGTAGTAACCACATTGTTTTCTCATGTGAAACCTGCATAAGAGTGTATATCAATCATACCTTAATAAAAAATTTTAAAAAAAAAACATCTAAACTCCTTGCCATTTGGCCTCAAGGAGAGATTCTGGGTGACTATTAGATACAATGTCTAACACAAGGTCTGCCTTATACTCTAAAGGTATTCAATAAACATTTGTACACATTTGAGTTAACAATAACACTAAATGTGAAATCATGTGCTTAACTCTTTATGAAACTTAATCCTTTAAAGCTGGTTATATTAGGTAGATATTAGGAAAGGTATATGTTTTTAGTCTAAAAACTAAGATACTGTCAGACATTGTGTCACTATTAAAAGGCAGTGATACTTTCTTTATTCAGTTCTCTGTGGCTACTGTATATATCATTCTACACTAATAAACAGTAGATTTCTTCACAGAGTATCTCAATCCTGATTCACAAATGAAGATCTCTGGCTGCAGAGGTGATATAAAACCTTAGTTGATGTAGGCCATGCTTGGATTTGCAGTCCAAGATGGTGCACAAATGTTCCTATGGTGACACAGATCTTCTGGAGTAAACCAAGGGCACGGAAATGCAGTCACATAGTCAGTTACCTCAGGGATGCTTCATTTGAACTACAGGTCTCTTCCATCTGCTTCGAAGATGTTTAAATTCATTATCTGAAATCAAAGACCCCTTAGTCCTTTACAGGTTAAACAAAGAATGAATATAAATTCTTTTAGTGACAACATATCTAGAGTTACATATACATCCACCAGGTATCTCCTAAGAGGGAGGTACAAATGAAGTTGTAAAGCCTGGCATTAAAGAGACAGCAATGAGAAAGCAGAAAGGCCTACCTGCTCAGGCAGATGAAGAATGGTGTGCTCTCCGGAACCAAAGTGTGACAGAGATTTATACGCAGCATTTGCTACAACTGGGTCCTAGATAGGGAAAAAGTAACATAAATAAACAACAACATATTTTAAACATCAACTCTAGAGGAAAACAGAAAATCGTCCCTCACCAACCTCTAAATTCCAGTCAGTGCTTTGGAAATGACATTCAAGCCTTCCTTAACATGTCCCAATTAAACAGAGAAAACCACATGAGCAGAGGGGTTACAAGCACCATTTTTATAATCCTAGTTTGGACATTAAACATAAAGTAACTCATAATCACTCAGGTCCCCATGGAGTAGTATGTTTAGTGGAAGAAGTACGAGCATTTAGAGGTGGATAGGTTTGGAACTGGACTCCCCTTTCCCAGCTGCTAACATTTTAACTTAGCCTTGACGAATCTAAGCTCTTTCACCAAGGAGTTGAGCATAATATCAATGGCTTACTCTTCTCTATACTCCTTGACTGGAAACATCTGCAAGTGCACCAAACTTTCTGTTGGTTTGCTGTGCTGGCTGGTGCGGAGGGGCGTGGCAGGGAGGCAGAGACTGTAACTGAGAGGAGATGGGCGACAGTCCCTCTTCACATCTGCCACCCTCACAAAGTAACGAGCGCACTCCATGGTAAAAACGTATCAATATGCATAACTTGAGAATAATTTTTAAAAGCTAGACTTTATTACTCATCTCACAATTCTCTTAAATTCAAGAAGCCACCATATCAAGGGAGCTATATTTTTTACCCTAAGAGACTTATTTCACACATCTTTCCTCAGCTTGGTCTGTTTCCCTGACACTCTTGTGAAAGTACCTTGTTTTGAGCGTGGGTCCAGAGGAAACTGAGGACTTGGACTTTAAAATTCTGAAAAATCAACGAACATCGGAATAAAAACTAAAGTAGCCAACAGTGAAAATTGAATTACTTTGAAATTTACACCACTTATAATTAACTTAACCTGCATTTACCCATCATTTATAAAATGGAGATAGAGACAGTCATCCTTTAAGCACATGGATATTTTAAACACAATGAGATTTTAAGATTATTATATTCAGAAACTAACCATTTACAACTGACCTCGCAAGTCAAATGCCAGTCCCCTCTTCCATGCCACTGTTCCTGATCCTCAACCCAGAAAAGAGTTCTCCCTTCTCCAAGTAGCCTTATGGCACATTGCACACTTTAGCATCTAATATGGTTATCTATGTGTGTGGTTAACTCCCAGTTAGGTTATATACTCCTTAGGGCAATGACTGTCTTTTTCACTTCAAACCATAAAGCCCAGTTCCTCAAATGACAAACATTTAATAAGTAACTGAGCATGAACAGCCATTCTATCTTCCAACACTCATTTTTGGCCAAATCTAACTTCTTGCCCCTCTAAATCACATAAGGTTCTTCTATACCTCATTGCCTTTGCATATTCATTCCCCAAACTTCAACAGGAAGCAGTTTTATTAATTCTTCAAGATCCTAGTCTAATAGCACCAACTAAATTGGGTTTACTTGGATTCCTCCTAAGAATCCTGGCATTTCCACCACCACTCTCTCATAGCCCTTTGATTAACTGTACTCATCAAGTGTTGTTATTATTGCTTCCGTCTATCTCCTTTACCACCCTTTGAAGCTTTTGGGAAGCAGGGACTAACAAGATGGTATAATGCAACAATATAGGCTATGGAGCTAGAGAGTTCTGGGTTTAGACATCAGCATTCACTTAGAAACTACAGTAGCGGTCATTACTTATCTGGCATGTAGCCAATACTCAGAATTTAATGAATGGACGGACCTCTCAAAACCTCAGATTCTTTAGCTATACAATGAAAAACAATACCTTCCTATCAGATAGTAGAGCTAATCGTTATGAAGTAACTAGAAGAGTGCTGGGAATATAATAGCTACTTGAAAATTGTATCCATTTTTATTAGTGTCTTTTACACCTAGTACAGTTTTAATAAATACATTCTAAGCCAATGAATGAATGTGCCAAGGACTTTGCAAAGCAACTCAGAAAATTAAACTATTTGAAACATGGACTCTATTTTCAACATGCTTACAGTTTAATGGGGAAAGTAATATATGTATACTAACACCTGTAGTATAAAATAGACACAAATGTTCTTACAGCAGCTTAGATAAAGAACTTTGGTAGCAATAGATGCCTGCCTGCATAAAAATTCTCAAAGGATGGGATAAGTTAAACCAATTCTTAATTTCTTAAAATAGTTTTTAAAATTAGAGATGAAAAAGACAGCAATTTTAGACAGAACATGAACAAAGGAAAAGAAATAGAAAAGCTGGAGGCACATAAGGAAATTACAAGTGATTCAGTTTTCCTGGAGTGCAGGAGGCAGAAAAGGAAGTGAGGCCAGATTCTAAGAGGCCTCATTGGTTGGGCATAAGAGGCTGGGTTTCATTTTAGGTAAACACAAAGGAGTGAAGTGACTACGGATAGCCATGACCTAAGAAATGCTTTGGGAAAATTACATTCAACTCTGGCTTACATCCAAACTTGAGCGGTTAACAGAAAACAAAGTATTTAACAAACACAGGGAGAGAGGGAAGGAGGGAGAGACAGAGGTGGAGACGGGAGAAGGGGGCACAGGGAGAGACGATGAGAGAGAAACACATAGAGCAAGCAAGACAGATGGAGCGAAGTCTCCCTCTACATTTCTTTACTTCTGCTTCTCAGTGCACTATGGTCACTGAAAGCATCTCCTTTACTGGGAGGAAGCATGGATGGAATGAGTCTGAAGCAGTCTGTTTGGACAGAAGAGGAATGTTAATATTAAGAAAAGTATGATGATAAACCAAAAGAAGATGTCAGGGGGAAAGAATGTAAAATTTAAAGAAGAAAAAAAAAGTACTCTAAAAGCCATTTACAGCCACTGGTAAGAAAATGTAAGAAATTGACACACAAATCACACCACAAATTAACCTGTGATAAAATCTGAATAACTCAAAGTACAAGCAATACAAAGTATGCAAGTTCAAAGAGGATTAAAGATGGCAGCGTGAGAGGTGAGACAGAGACCTCCTCCTAAAACCACATATAATACAAAAATATAATTAATACAACTAATCCTGAAAGAGCAACAGGAAAGAAGGCTACGCCAGATGCCATACACCAGGAGAAAAGACCAGACCTCATGGAACACGGTAACGAACCAAAGCCGTGATCTGGCGGGACCCAAACCTTTCCCCCACCCCAGCTCATGGGTGAGAGGAAGAGAAACAGAGAGGGGAGGGAGTGGAGGCCTGGGACTACTGAACACCTAGCCTTGGAGATCTGCTCTGGGAGCACAAACCTACAGTGCATGGTGCTCTGGTGATTAGTGGAGTTGGAAAGCTAAGAAAGGCAGAATACCTGGAGAGACTGAGATTTCAGCAGCTTGTGGAAAACAGGGATTCATACCCAGCTGTTTTGGGTGGACAGTCTAAGAGACTCCCTAAAAGTGAGAGGGCTACTAAAGGGGTAAGGACTGCACAGAGTTTACTGCTAAGGAAAAAGGATAGGTAGACAAAATTGTCCAGGTGCATTCTGCCCAGCAGGTTGGGAACTTTCATGATCTCCAGGTGCTCCAACCCCTTGGCTGGCTACACAGCTCCAAGGACCCCCACCGTGATACACAACCTACTACACCTTCCTCCTGGCCAGCCTGCGCCTGGCTCACAAATGGGCAAACCCTGCCCTGGTCTAAGGCCAGCCTGAGGAAGACCCCACCTACAGCAGAAACAAACACAAAGCATAGAGGCTTACACCAGTATGTTTGGTCCACTGGTTCTGGCAGTGGAAAAAGGCATAGCAGCTGGGAAGCAGGAAACATCTTTTTACCTCCTGCCAGGCACCAGCACCAGTCCCCTGCCACCTCCAACATTGCTTGAGGGACAGAGCAGCTCCAGAGAGTAGAGTATCTGGGCACTAGAGAGTGCCACATACAAAAATGAAATGTCAAAGGAACCGGGTTCAAACCAAAATCTTGCAAACACCAGAAAAAGGGTGGAGTGAGACTGAACTAATCAATCTTCTAGAAAGAGATTTCAAAATAAAAATCATAAACAAGCTCCTGGAGGTACAGAAAAATATTTAAGAAACCAGGAACAAATTTAGGAAGGAGATCCAGTCATTGAGGAACACAATGGAAGGTTTTAAAAGCAGATTAGATATGGTAGAGGAGATGATAAATGACACAGAAATGAGAGAAGAGGAATACAAAGCAGCAGAGGCACATAGAGAAAAAAGGATCTCTAGGAATGAAAGAATACTGAGAGAACTGTGTGACCAATCCAAATGGAACAATATTTGTATTATACAGGTAGCAGAAGAAGAAGAGAGAGAAAAAAGGATAGAAAGTGCCTTTGAGGGAGTAATTGGTGAAAACTTCCCCAATCTGGGGAAGGAAATAATCTCTCAAGCCATGGAGGTGCACAGATCTCCCAACACAAGGGACCCAAGGAAGAAAACAACAAAACATACAGTAATTAAAGTGGCAAAGATCAAGGATAAGGACAGGCTATTAAAAGCAGCCAGAGAAAGAAAAAAGATCACATACAAAGGAAAACCCATCAGGCTATCATCAAATTTCTCAGCAGAAACCTTACAGCCCAGAAGGGAGTGGCATGATGTATTTAATGTAACGAAGCAGAATGATCTCAAACAAAAAATACTCTACTCGGCAAGATTATCAATTAAATTTGAAGGAGGGTTTAAACAATTTCCAGATAAGCAAAAGCTGAGAGAACTTACCTCCCACAAATTGTCCCTACAGTGTATTTTGGAGGGACTGCTATAGATGGAAGTGTTCCTAAGAAAATGATACCTAATATATAAAGAATGGAAGAGGAAAAAAAAAAGAACCAATTATGATATACTAAGTGAGTTGAATAAGATTCTTAGATAGTAATGAAATTACCCTTAAACCTTTAGTAACCACAAATCTAAAGCCTGCAATGGCAATAAGAACATACCTATTGATAATCACCCTAAATGGAAATTATCTGAATGCACCAATCAAAAGACATAGTCACTGAACGGATGAAAAAACAAGACCCAACTATATGCTGCCTACAAGAGACTCACTTCAAACCCTAAGACATATACAGATGAAAAGTGAAGGGATGGAAAAAAATATTTCATGCAATTAATAGGGAGAAAAAAGTAGGAGTTCCAGTACTCGTATCGGACAAAACAGACTTTAAAACAAAGAAAGTCACAAGAGACAAAGAAGAACATTAAATAATGATAAAAGGGTTAATATAACAAGAGGATATAACCATTATAAATATCTATGCACCCAACACAGGAGCACCTACATATGTGAAACAAATACTAACAGAATTAAAAGGGGAAATAAAATGCAATGCATTCATTCTAAGAGACTTCAACACTCCACTCACTCCGAAGGACAGATCAACCAGACAGAAAACAAGAAAGGAGACAGAGGCATTGAACACATTAGAACTGATTGACATAACACACATCTATAGAACTCTCCACCCAAAAGCAGCAGGATACACATTCTTCAAGAAGATCATTTTCAAGAATAGATCATATACTAGGCAACAAAAAGAGCCTCAGTAAATTCAAAAAGATTGAAATTGTAACAACCAGCTTCTCAGATCACAAAGGTACGAAAGTAGAAATAAATTACGCAAAGAAAACAAAAAAGCCCACAAACACATGGAGGCTTAACAGCATGCTCCTAAATAACCAATGGATCAATGACTAAACAAAAGCAGAGATCAAGCAATATATGGAGACAAATGACAACAATAATCCACCACCACAAAAATCTATGGGATGCGGCGAAGGCTGTGCTAAGAGGGAAGTATATTACAGTACATGCCTACATCAGGAAAGAAAGCAATCTGAGATGAACAGTCTAAACTCACAATTAATGAAAATAGAAAAAGAAGAAGAAATTAGGCCCAAAGTCAGTAGAAGAAGGGACATAATAAAGATAATAGCAGAAAAAAAAATCTAGAAGAATAAAACAATAGAAAGAATAAATGAAAGCAGGAGCTGGTTCTTTGAGAAAATAAACAGAATAGATAAACCCCTAGCCAGACTTATGAAGAAAAAAGAGAATCTACACACATGAACAAAAATGAGAAAGGAAAAATCACTACGGACACCACAGAAATACAAAGAATTATTAGAGAATACTATGAAAAATTACATGTTTACAAACTGGATAACCTAGAAGAAATAGACAACTTTCTAGAAAAAAATGACCTTCCAAGGTTGACCAAGAAAGAAACAGAAAATCTCAACAGACCAATTACTAGCAACGAAATCAAACTGGTAATCAAAAAACTAAGAACAAAACTCCTAGACCAAATGGCTTCATCCGGTCTATAGTAATGAAATTTTATCAATCATTTAGTGAAGACCTAATATCCATTCTCCTTAAAGCTTTACAAAAAGTAGAAGAGGAGGGAATACTCCCAAATTCATTCTATGAGGCTAGCAACACCCTAATAACAAAACCAGGCAGACACCCCAAAAAAAGCAAATTACAGACCAATATCCCTGATGAACATAGATGCAAAAATACTCAACAAAATATTAGCAAACCGAATTCAAAAATACGTTGAAAAGATCATCCATCATGATCAAGTATAATTTATTTCAGGGATGCAAGGATGGTACAACATTTGAATATCCATCAACATCATCCACCACATCAACGAAAAGGACAAAAACCACATGATCATCTCCATAGATACCGAAAACTATTTGAGAAAATTCAACACCCATTCATGATAAAAACTCAACAAAATGGGTATAGAGGACAAGTACCTCAACATAATAAAGGCCATATATGACAAACCCACAGCCAATGACATACTTAAAAGTGAGAAGCTGAAAGCTTTTCTTTTAAGATTGGGAACAAGACAAGGATGCCCACTGTCTTCACTTTTATTCAATATAGTTTGGAGGTCCTCGCCACAGCAATAAGACAACACAAAGACATAAAAGGTATGCAGATTGGTAAAGAAGAAGTTAAACTGTCACTGTTTGTAGATGACATGATATTGTACATTAAAAACCCTAAAGAATTTACTCCAAAACTACTAGTTCTAGTATCTGAATTCAGCAAAGTTGCGATATAAAATTAATACACAGAAGTCTGTTGCATTCCTATACACTAATGATGAACTAGCAGAAAGAGAAATCAGGAAAATAATTCCATTCACAATTACATCAAAAAGAATAAAATACCTAGAAATAAACCTAACCAAGGAGACACTCATGAGAGAAAACTGCAAGACACTCATGAGAGAAATTAAAGAAGAAACCAATAAATGGAAACACATCCCATGCTTATGGATAGGAAGAATTAATATTGTCAAAATGGCCATCCTGCCTACAGCAATCTACAGATTCAGTGCAATCCCTATCAAAATATCAATAGCATTCTTCAACACATTAGAGAAAATAATTCTAAAATGCATATGGAACCACAAAAGACCCCAAATAGCCAAAGAAATCCTGAGAAGGAAGAATAAAGCTGGGGGAATTATGCTCCCCAACTTCAAGTTCTACTACAAAAGCAGAGTAATCAAGACAATTTGGTACTGGCACAAGAACAGACCCATAAACCAATGGAACACACTAGAGAGCCCAGATATAAACCCAAGCATACATGGTCAATTAATATATGAAAAAGGAGCCATGGATATATATACAATGGGGAAATGACAGCCTCTTCAACAGCTGGTCTTGGCAAATCCAGACAGCTACATAAAAGAGAATGGAACTGGATTATTGTCTATCACCATACACAAAAGTAAACTCGAAGTGTATCAAAGACTTGGATGTAAGTCATGAAACCATAAAATTCTTGGAAGACAACACAGGTAAAAATCTCCTGAATATAAACATGAGCAACTTTTTCCTGAACGCATCTCCTCAAGCAAAGGAAACAAAAGCAAAAATGAAGAAGTGCGATTACATCAAAGTAAAAAGCTTCTCTACAGCAAAGGACACCATCAATAGAACAAAAACGTGTCCTACAGTATGAGAGAGAATATATTTGTAAACAACACATCCAACAAGGGGTTAACATACAAAATATATAAAGAACTCACACAACTCAACAACCAAAAAGCAAGTAATCCAATTAAAAAATGGGCAGATGATATGAACAGAAAATTCTCCATGGAATAAATTCAAATGGCCAATAGGCACATGAAAAGATGCTCCACATCACTAATTATCAGGGAAATGCAAATAAAAACCACAGTGAAATATCACCTCACACCAGTTAGGATGGCCAGTATCAAAAAGACTAAGAACAACAAATGCTGGTGTGGATGTAGAGAAAGAGGAACCCTCCTACATTGCTGGTGGGTATGTAAGCTAGTTCAACCATTGTGGAAAGTAATATGGCAGTTCCTCAGAAAACTAAAAATAGAAAAACCATTTGACCTGCGAATTTCACTCCTAGAAATTTACCCAAAGAATGTAATTTCTCAGATTCAAAAAGACATATGCACACTTATGTTTATCGCAGCACTATTTACAATAGCCAAGATATGGAAGCAACCTAAGTGTCCATCAGTAGATGAATGGATAAAGAAGATGTGGTACATATACACAATGGAATACTATTCACCCATAAGAAAGAAACAAAAATCCTATCATTTGCAACAACATGGATGGAGCTGGAGGATATTATGCTCAGTGAAATAAGCCAGGCAGAGAAAGACAAGTACCAAATCAAATGATTTTCCTCATTTGTGGAATATAACAACAAAGCAAAACTGAAGGAACAAAACAGCAACAGATTCACAGACTCCAAAGGGGAGCAGTGGGGGAGGGCTGGCGGGGAGGAAGGGACAAGGGGATTGAGGTTATTATAATTTGCACACATGGTGTGGGGGAATCATGGGAAGACAGTGTAGCACTGAGAAGGCAAATAGTGACTCTGTGGCATCTTACTACACTGATGGGCAGTGACTGTAATGGGGTATGGGGGGGATGCAATAATATGGTTAAATGTAGTAATAACTACATTAGTTTTCTCATGTGAAACCTTCATAAGAGTGTATATCAATAATGCCTTAATTAAAAAAAAAGTAGGTGAGTTTAGTCCTTGAAGATAAAAAATAAATATACATAACATATCCTTACATTGGTTTTTAGGTTTAGTTCCTTATCAGTGGCCTGGCAGACTTTCTAACAATATAAGGGTATGTACCAGTAAACAGCAGCATAAAAAAGACTGTTGGTGGACTATATGCTCTATGAGTTTCCAATGGATTCTTTTTTAATACCCTAAAAGAAAATCCAAATGTGAAAATTAACTGACAATATCCTGTATTGGCTCAATCATTCATTCAGTTACTACTTACTGAATACACATTACGTGTCAGGCACTATGTTAGGTACTGTATCCTCGGTAAGGACAAATTTGATTTTATTCACTGTGAAGCATTTAGAATGACTAGAAGAATTATCCTATAATCCTGTCCTATCACGTGATCTAAAACATGTAAGGGACTATTACAGGAATCTTATGGAGGGGTAGGTTATCAAAGTCTTTGAAGCACTAAATCAAACTAAAAGTGCAGGAAGACATCAAGTGAAAATCAATCGCGGCTTTTTGATGGAACAGGAAAAAATAAAAATGGTAAGCATGAACAGAAAAATGGCTACTAAAGTGGAGACATAAGTGAATTCTTCATGCTCTCATTTCAAAGAGAAAATAAAGAAAATATTAAGCAGAAATGTATGAATCTTATAGCAAAGCATCCTCCACCATGTGTTTCAATTCATTACAATGATAAACACTGAGTAGTTCATAAAATTAATTTCTTCTCCCCTAACACATTTTGATTTCACAATCCTCCTTCTTGAAGAGCACAGATGAAGAATACAGATGTACAAAGAAAATGTGAACTAACATGTAAAAATGAAATCTTTATGGTCATGCTAGACAATCTGTGCTACTAGGAAAGTCTTCCTTGCCTTATTAAAGTCTTTGAAACATTTTTTTAGAATTTAAAACATCAAGAAAATGAATTTAAACTGTTGACCTCATGAATTGTTATTTTAGTAACACTATTTTTAACACATAGACTTTTAAAAATCTTGACTATACTCTAATAAAAATTTGGTACCATCTATGTAAGTAAGTCTTAAAGACACAGAATTGATAGGGGTGGATAGCTTCCTATTCTCTAGAGTTTATTAAAGATATTCATGTTCTCAGAATAAAAAGGTGCTATAGGATTTTCGGGAAACAAAAGACCACAAATATTTTTTTTCCTGAAGTTATTACAAAGTACAAGTCTTTCCAATATAGAAACAGACAATTTATTGAGCACCAAATGGATACCTCATATTCAGCTGTATTGACTGTTAAGGAAGGAACCAGAGAAAACAGTTCACTGAGGGTCTTCACAATGAGAGGTCTTGTGTCACAACTCAACTTTGGGGAGAGAGCATTCCAAGTAGAGCGAATGCAAACAACCTGTGAAGCAAATAAAAAAAGCCAATCAACAAAATCCCAACTCATATGAAGCCATTAGTGAACAGTCTGATCTGTTATTATGAGGAAACTTAAGGGAAAAAAAAGAACATTCCTAGAACATGAACATCACCCCCTCAAATGAAATTATTTAAACCAATATAAAAACTGTTGCTGAAGAAGATCCAGCCTGCTTCACAAGATTGCTTTTTTACTACTTTACTTTGGTTCACCAAAGTAATAAAACTCTCCCTTCTATCTCTCTCTGTCTCTCACATACATACATACATACACACAAAATTAACTGCAGATTAGCCACATACATTGTTAAAGAACCATTTTCTGAAACAGAGATAATGCTAGGACATTTCTAAAGTATCCACAGTTTTTGTAGTTTTTCAGCCCTGCCCAAACTACACCACCAGTCAGAAAATTGGGAGTTATAAATCAAATGCTTTCAAATCACCTTGCAACTTTTAAAAGAGGAAGGAGAATAACCATAGTATTTAAAATCATAATTTAAGACTTTGTTTTAAAAGCCACTTCAGATTTTTTAAGAGGCTGTTAAATGATAAAATGGAAATAAAGACCAACAAAAATGCTAGTTTTAACTTGACCTAATTTCCATAAACCAAGTATTCTTAGTTTACATCAATATCTGGTTTTATGGAATTCAAATGTCTTAAGTTCAATTACAATTACGACAGATGATTTCACTTGTAGATATTTTATTAAAATTTTAAAACTCAGGAAGGAAGAGTGCCAACACAGATCAGTCAGATGGGATTTAACAAGGATTAATCCCTTTAAAATACTCCCATCTCTTAAGCTTCGATTAACACACACAATTTATCTCCATCTGCAAATGGAAATTATTTAGGAAAAACTACATGAGGTAGTAAGTGAAAAGATGTCAAAGACAAATGAATAATATATACTTAAGGACACAGATTAAAGAAAGGCTCAAAGGAGAAGACAGCAGAAAGGACTCGAGACCCACTATAAATTTGGATTCCATTAACATTTACTAAGGGCAATACTATGTGCAGGGCATGACAAAAGGCATATTAATACAAAGTAGCTCTAATATTACAAATCATGGGTATTTGAAAAAAAATCTCTTAAAAGCTCTCGAGTAGATACCCTTAGTAGTATATGGTACTAAGAGAACCAATAAATATATATAAACATAAAATAAAATATAAAACATAATCTATACCTTCAAAGAATTCTAGCACCTTATTGAAAAGGAAGAGAAATGTAAGTAGAAATTTTCTCAATTACCAGAAAACAAAAGGCATATGATTAGATTTTGCTCTATTTTTATCAAAAAATAGTTTCAGGAGGATCCAGGGAGGAAAGCTATGTCAGTGCGGGAGTCATCAGAGAGGAGCCAGAGGCTGTAAGTCCTGAGATGGGACTTGAAGAAGAAATCAGGTAGACACTGCACAAGTAAGTCTAAAGGGAAAGCGTAAGTAAAAATACAAATAAAGCATGTTGTAGACACAAAAAGCATAGTCTGGTAAAGAAGGCTGGTGGATCAGAGAATACCTACAACACTAAAGCAGTTTGGACCAAAATCAAAAAGAAAGGGAAGCTGCTGGAGATAATCTGAGTTGGGGAACAAACAAAATTAAAACACTACTTTTGAAAGATTCTTCTGGTAGTCTTATAGCCTCTCCTATTTCTAATGCTTACAAAGAACCTCAACTTTTCAAAAAATCTTATTTTTAATAAACTCACTAATTGTCCATGTTTTGTCACTTTAAATGCCCATCAAATTCCAATCTATTTGTTCCAAGACCCAGTTCAAATCCCAATTCTACAATTAAGTTTTCTCTTATAATTCAAGCCCTCATTTTATCCCTTTCTTTTCTCCAACTTGTAACACTTAAAACTCTCTATCATCAAATTTAGCATTTAATTATATACTGTCTGGTATTGTTCACTATTTTCATGAATGTAAATTGTCTTCTCAACTAGAGATTAAGTTCTTTAAAGACAATGACCATGTCTTAGAGTTGTCATTCCCCCCTCAACTAGCATGGTAATAAGTATATAACAGATTATCAGTACTCATCAACTACTGATGGTACTGGAATCTGGGGTATGGTAAGTCTGAGATAGGGAATAAAGAATTTAAAGAACTTGGAGAATGAATTGGAAAGAGAGATGTTTTGGGTCTAGAGACCTGGATGAATAAAAAGCAACATAAAAAAAGGAGGGGAAACTGGGAGGAGCACATTAGCAGGGGATGGGGGATGGAGACAATGAATTCCATTTGAGAGATGTTTGAGTTGACAGAAAGGCATCCAGAAAGAAATATCCTGCAGGCAAGAGAAAAGAAGAATAACAGATGTGAGGTTGGTCAATAACAACAGCTCTGTTATCCAAATATTTCTATAGGCCAATACTATGCAGAAGTACAGTCTCACAGATGGTCTGATGCACTTTACAGATCAATAAAAAGATTTCTGGCCACCAATTACCTAAGTACAAAAAGGACCTTCCTTGACCTTTCCATGGGTGGTGGGTTGGGAGTAAGGCTACATCCTCCAACTATTTTCATGGGTTTAAAAAAGTTTTTAAATAGACTTCCTCCTGGAGAGTTTGAAAACTAATGTCTGAAATGGTTGTCTATATGTAAACTATGAAAAAATATTCCAGAATCCCAGACATCAGTTGTGACCTTAAATGTAAGCAAGGTATCCTGCAGGATATTTGTAAACCCACGCTTGCCCATGTATAAAAAGGAGCAGGGAGGTATTTAGTAAAGAAGGAGAAGGTTGCTTTCTCTGACCTTCCCAACCCTGCACTAGTATTAACTAGATCTTAGAGATCTTCTGGTCCTGAGGGCTCACTGAATTCAGCCTATTATCATCATGTTATGTTGATCTCCTGGAGCCTTGTAATCTAGTTCACTAGTCCTTTGACCTGTGCAATCTGTCAAATTATATCAGATTGGTCAGGTTCTGGGCTTTAATGATTTGTTTCATCTCTACTGTTCATTACCTAATGACTTATCAATCCAAACAGATTGACTTCTGGCTCTAGCAATATGATAGGCCACACCTGAAATGGCTAATAAAGAAGAAGATTCTACTATATACAACTGAGCCGAAAAGGGAAAAAAGGAGTGTGGGAGCAGTCAGTTCCCATTGTCAGAAAAAAACATTGAGGTATTATAAAGAACTTGTATTACCTAATAGCCTGTATTTGAATGCCAATATGGAAAAAGGAGATACTGCCTTTAGAAGGCAGGGAGTTGGAACTGAGACTCCCACAACAAACCGGCACCCTTGAAGGGCTGCACCCTTAGTGCAATGATTGGACTAGAAACCACTGAGCTGAGAAAATAATATAAAACATGGGGGTACCTGGACCACTCTCAAAGGATATTTCCATAACACATAACCTGAATGATTCACAAAGAAAGATAAAATGAGCCCTCTAAAAATGAGTCCATAAGAAAAAAACTTGAAAATATCTGATACAGTCCAATATATGTGACAATCAGCAAAAACAAAAAATAGCAAACCAGACATCCAAGACCTTCAGACAACAGAACGAGAAGAAAGTAATACAAAAGTATTTAAATGAATTAAATATATAAGACAAGGCATTTGATTCCCAGTAAAAGAATATGGCATGGTTGAAAAGAAGAGACAAATTTGGGAAAGAACCAAATAGCATCTCTAGAAATGAAAAATATAGTCACTGAAATGATTAATCCAACCCAGAGAGGAAGTTATTAACCATGACAGGAAGTCATCCTCAGTACAGATCAGAAAGATGAGAGTTACAAAAATGTAAAACAAAGTTCAAAGTTGGGTAGCATTGACTGAGGTAGTTTTCTTATGTTTACGAAGACTTCCTAAAGGAATTTAATTTTAGAATGACCCTTGGAAAATGGTTGATTCTAGGACTGGGATAGGGAAAATATGACTTAAGTCTGGAGCATCTTACAGTGCCAAAAAGTAAGGAGGTGTTCAAAAAAGGATGCAGACTTGTTGAAAGGGCATAGGAGCCAATCTGAAAGAGTTGCCAGTGACCAAATATGCACGAGTCCACACTGGTACAAATAATTAAATAGGTAAATAAATAAGTAATGGCCCTTCCTTACAGAATAATTCCAATTAATAAATGTAGAAGCAATGAAAGAAACAAAAACTCACCATTAGATAAACTTAACAGGAATAACTGTCACAGGCAAAAATCTGCTGATGGATGTTAAAATTAGTGGGCAAGTTTGAAGATAAACAGGGTAACTGAATAGTCTCATAGCATCTCTCCTCCAAGAAATGTATTAATCACAAAATAAAAAAGAGTAACTTTGCTGTGGAGAAACCTAGTATTCACCACCTTAACCAAGTGACTAAGGTTAACATCATGAAGTGATCAAGGTTGTGACCAGTAATAAAACACATCAGCATCATGTACCCCTGATATGATACACTGAGAAAGACACATTACTTCTGTAGTCAATCTAATCATGAGGAAACATCATACATGCTCAAAGTGAAGGGTATTTTATAAGATAATAAGCAGAACTTTTCAAAAGTGTCATAATCATGAAAGCTGAGGACTGAGGAGCTGGTACAATTGGAAGAGTTAGGACACATGACAACTAAAAGCACTGTGTCATCCTGGCTTGGATCCTGGAGCAGAAAAATGATATTGGTGAGAAAACTGGTGAAATCTCAATGAAGTCTATTGTCTAGTTAAGAGCATTGCACCAATGTTAATGTCCTAGTTTTGACAACTGTGCTATAGTCATGTTAACGTTAGGGACAGCAGGGTGAAAATATACAAGAACTCTCTGTACTTTTTTTTTTAATAACAGCTTTTTTGAGACATACCATACAATTCACCTACTTAAAGTATACAATTCAATGGTTTTCAGTATACTCACAAAGTTGTGCAAACACCACCCAAAAAGAAACACCATAATCGTGCATCACTCCTTATTTGTCCTTAGCCTTTCCAATCCTATGCAACCATGA